GGCGGGGCGGGGCAGGGCCGGGCGCGGCCTCCGCGGGCCCGCTGGGGGCGGGGCGGGGTGTGGCTACCGGGCGCCTCCGGGCGCCCTTCTGGAATAGGCAGGCTGCTCGAGGCCTCCCGGGACTTCGCTAGCGCAAGAAGGCCTGGGCAGTTGGCCCTTTTCGGCCGTCCCCCGGGAAGTCTGCCTCATAGGCAAGGGCCGTTCTTGCATACTCATATTTAAGAAGATCCTGGTTTTCTGAAATCCCGGGGTTGCAAGAATTGCAGAGTGCAATTAGTCCTGCGGTTAGGAGGGTGGGTTTTTGCACTCCCGTCCCTTCCTCTGCCTCCGATCACGTGGCCCTGAGGCTCTCCGTTTGCTCGGGTATGCAGCTCCCATCCCCCCCGGGTATGGCGGTGCCTGCTGCGTAATGGTGTCGAATAGCAACCTTGGGGGCTGGTACAAAGTGTCTTATCTCTTGTGGACAGACCCCTCTCTGAGCAGCCGTCTTCACCTCTCTGTTCTGCTTTATCTGTAAGTCCCACTTGTATTGAAGCATATCTCTACAAATCTCCCTTTCTGCAGTCACTCGACCTTCCGCCTGGAGTACTTAGTTCTTCATCCTTTTTGTGTCTAACTTTAAGAGTTGTGGGGTTGGTGTCCCACTAATTGAACTACTTGAATAACGTCCACCAACAATTACTAAGCAAGGAATTTTTCCACGCAGTAATCGATGGGATACGTTTCCCCAAATCTTGGTTTTACACTGTGTTGGGAGTCATCTTTAGCGTTGCCTTGTGATGTGTACACATTGTCCAAGAACAGACATGCTCCAAATGGACTTGAAAACAGGCTTGGCTTTCTATGACTGCCATTCCTTTTCAGGAACACCCAAGTACAGCAAATGTCTAAAACTGAAAATCTTATTTTTGATCAACATATTGCCCACAATTGTCACCTTGAGTGGTGGCTTAATTAGCTGGCAAGCTCATGAGCTCTTTGTTTTAACTATTCTTTAACATGGTTAATCAGGGAGGAGGGGAAGCAGGGACCAATAGTGCGGGGTAAATACTCCAGCACTCACTCTTCACACAATTGAACTTGGCACTGGCTGTAAGAAGTTTCTTCTGCACTAATACAGATCCTCAAGACACTCTGTGCTGGAGGCAATTCCCATGACTTTTTTTTTTTTTAAAGATGACCGGTAAGGGGATCTTAACCCTTGACTTGGTGTTGTCAGCACCATGCCCTCCCAAGTGAGCTAACCTGCCATCCCTATATAGGGATCTGAACCCGTGGCCTTGGTGTTATCAGCACCGCACTCTCCCAAGTGAGTCACAGGCCAGCCCTTCATGACATTGTAAAGGATCAGGTTTTGATTTTTATTTTATTTTTTTCTTGGTGAGTACAAGAATCAAACCCCAGACCTCTGTTTTATCAGCACCATTCTCCAACTGAGCTAACCGGTCAGCTGTGCTTTGAGAAAGGAAGGCTAGGCCAGCAGACCACCTTTACTACCCGTAGCCTGTTATATCTACCTTCTTTGGGAATCCCTAACATAACATGTTCATGTTCCACTTTCAGTCTTTCTACTTTGACCGCGATGATGTGGCTTTGAAGAACTTTGCCAAATACTTTCTTCACCAGTCTCATGAGGAGAGGGAACATGCTGAGAAACTGATGAAGCTGCAAAACCAACGAGGTGGCCAAATCTTCCTTCAGGATATCAAGGTGAACAGAAGATCCTAGGGTTGTCGTACTTGTAATCTGGCTGTGCTTAGGTGTTAGAAATCACTTAAGGACTGGCAGTTGCCCTTATAAAATGATGATACCTTGTGCTTTTGGCCAGAACTACCACCAGGACTCAGAGGCCGCCATCAACCGCCAGATCAACATGGAGCTGTACGCCTCCTATGTCTACCTGTCCGTGTCTTTCTACTTTGACCGCGATGATGTGGCTTTGAAGAACTTTGCCAAATACTTTCTTCACCAGTCTCATGAGGAGAGGGAACATGCTGAGAAACTGATGAAGCTGCAAAACCAACGAGGTGGCCAAATCTTCCTTCAGGATATCAAGGTGTACAGAAGATCCTAGGGTTGTCGTACTTGTAATCTGGCTGTGCTTAGGTGTTAGAAATCACTTAAGGACTGGCAGTTGCCCTTATAAAATGATGATACCTTGTGCTTTTGTGCTTTTTTAGGCCTACCATCTAAACTAAAGTAAGCAGGCTGGCTGGTTGGCTCAGTTGGCTAGAGTGCCACCTTGTAGCCCCAAGGTCAGGGGTTCGGATCCCTGTACTGGCCAGCCACAATAAGTAAATAAAGCAAGCAGACAGTAACGGGCAAAGATGTTAACTTGGAAGCTGTTGTCAGGGAAAACTTGGATGTCCCTCTGCCAAAGCGTGGTGGTTAGATGTTAGGTACTTTCTGACTTATGGTTTAATTGGTAGAGACTGCAGATACATTGACCTAACCTCCTGTCATTCAGAAACCAGACTATGACGACTGGGAGAGCGGCCTGAATGCAATGGAGTGTGCGTTACACTTGGAAAAAAGCGTGAATCAGTCACTACTGGAGCTGCACAAATTGGCCACTGAGAAAAATGACCCCCACGTGAGTATTGGAAACCCACAGGATAAATGGAAGAAATAATTTACTTTATGGGTTGGGAAAGCTGACCAATAACTTTCTTCCCTATTCCGTTTTTCAGTTATGTGACTTCATTGAGACTCATTACCTGCATGAGCAGGTGAAGTCCATCAAAGAATTGGGTGACCATGTAACCAACCTGCGCAAGATGGGAGCCCCTGAATCTGGCATGGCAGAATATCTCTTTGACAAGCACACCCTGGGAGAGAGTGATAACGAGAGCTAAGCCTCAGGCTAACTTCCCCGGAGCCATGGGATGACTTCCCTGGTCACCAAGGCAGTGCATGCATGTTGGGGTTTCCTTTAACCTTTTCCATAAGTTGTACCAAAACATCCATTTAAGTTCTTTCATTTATATCATTCCTTCAAATAAAGAAATTTGGTACCCAAAAAAAAAAAGAAATTTCTAGGCAGCAAAGCATTAAGAAAGCTGCATGGCTACTTGTAACAGCCTATGCTGAGTTATGGCGGCAAGGACACAACATAAAGCCATAATTTTAAAGGGAAGCTGTTGTCTTTGAGATCTTGAGATGGGCCAGAAATCTGTCTAGGCCATCTTCCAGATTCCTTAAGTGCCACAGTTCAGTTCTAATCACACTAATCAAAATGAAACAACTAGGAGAATATTTGTATTTTTTAGTTTGGGAAAGATGCCAAGGTGTGTTTGTCAAATTCAGACAGGATTCTGAATTGGGTGTCGTACGTGACATGTTTTCAATGGTTCATTCTAGCTTTCACGGTTTTTATGTATAAAAGGCATTTAAAGGCTGAGGTAGTCCTGGACTACTGAGTTTTGTTATCCATTAAGCTAACCATTTAATTCAGGCTGTCATAGAAACATATCTTCAGTGTGGACAACTATATGGCTGTGACTGGATCAGTGTCCTGTTGGTGTTCGCGCAGGTGAGGACCAGGCCAGTGAAGCGTCACCCTTAGGAAACAGGTTAGGAATGTGCTTCATCCCTGTTGAAGAATTTGAGAAAGTTCACAGCATGAGTATGGGAGGCACCTTCATTTCAGTACTAAAATTTTGCAGTGGTAGGGCAAAGGTTGAGACATCTTAATATCATATCCTAAACAAGCCACAGGTGATTTGTAAAGTTCCTGTCTAGTCCTCGAAGCAGGCCTGAAATTGTAGTCCTAAGTTGTCAATCATAATAGCTGTATTTTGACCACAAAGTAAATGGTAGAGAATCTAGAAATGGGAAGTTACACTTCCTCCTCAGATTGTGATTGGGGGTGGGGTAGGTTATTTCTAGTTGGGTGAAAGTGTCCAGGAAATCTAGAATAAGGAGAAGCATCTACTGGTTTGTGATGGCTTGGGCTGGCCCCAAGGAATCATAAGGTTCAGAAGTATTTTGGTGAGATCCCAAGGGCCCTGGACACCCTCACCCTCACTATCTGCTAGTTCTCCAGGGGTGAGGCAGTGTCACCCTTTGAAGGAGTGCTCGGGTGCCACCATGAACAGTTATGGGGAAGTGCTCATTTGCTATCTCCTAGCTACTGAAGCAGTGAGTTGAGTTCTTAGGCTACCAACTAGAGCCCCCAGTTCTGCCCTGTGGTTTTGTGTCAGCCACCCCTGCTCAAAGTAAACTGGCCCCAGTGATAAGATCTGCCCATCCACGCCTGGCATGCCAGCCCTGGGGTAGCCCTTCCTCCAGTATCATTCTTGCCATTGCAACCTCATCTTCCTTCACCTGGGTCTCAGGGAAGTCTTCCTGGTGATGCCAGGCTCATGGCAACACTTACCTAGGGTTTCGGCTGAGTTGGCCAGGTATATACCCCAAGCCAGTGCTGGGCATAGGTGCAGCTTGCTCTGGCAATGGTGGAACCACAGGGAAATGTGGAGGAAGGGCAGGCTCAGAGTGAGGGAAGCTGGGGTGGGGAAAGAGGTCATGCACAGGGGAAAGCAGTGAGCATGGTCTGGGTGCAGGACAGACCTGTTTTCCAAGGCCCAATAAGGATCTGCATGATCTTTGAGTATAGTGTGTAAGTTGCTTGCCGATAGTTCCAAATGTGGTTCTTTGAGTTGGCTTTCAGGGATCTCTGGCATATCAGTCAGGTTGAACTCGACAGTTTTCCTCTTCACATGATGTACTTCTGGGTGCTCTGTCAAGGCCTCATCACCCTCTGGGAGCAATTCAAAACTGTTCTTAGCCCCAGAAGTCACCAGCTTTAGGCTTTTGTCTTTGGTGTCTATGCCTGTGACACTATGAAGCCTGGAGGGTGCCAATTGTTCTGGGGGGAAGACCATGGGAATGGTGTTCAGGGGCGTCTGTGGGGCACTGTAGTAGCCTGGCCTCTCATACAGTGAGGCAGACTTGAAGGCATCCACCGCCCTGAGCTTCCAGGCCTTGCTGTCTTCCTGGCCCCTGGGGATCTGTGCAGGCCCCTTGGGGTTCTTGGGCTGACCCTCATGGAAGAAGGATTCTTTCCTGGGCCACAGGAGTTTAGTCTTTGAGTTTGTCCTGGGAGGATGATGGTCGTGGGACTGCAGCCCAAAGAAGCGGTCAATGATGCCAGCGGGAGCATCCTCCTCCTCTGGATTTGGCTGGAACTCCATCTCTTCTTTGTGCAGGCTGAAAGAAGGGGGAGTCTCAGGGCTGAGGGGGTGGACCAAGGACTCCAGACTGACCTGACGTCTCCCTTACCCCTGCCTCCCTCTCCCCTGGCCCAAGGCCAAGGCTACACAGTCTTCCTCACAGTGCCCAACTCTCGCCTCTCTCCTGATCCATCCTGTACCTCCCAATTGATCCCTCAAAGCCCAGCTCACCTCACTGTCCTTTGACTCCCTCTTGCCCACAGTTAACATCCAAAGTCCCTAGCCTGGCATTTAAGGGTCTACGAGGACCCTTAAGTTCATCACCCACTTCTTCCCTTTAAAATCCCTCACTTCAGGAGTCAGAACTACTGGTCCCCAGGTATAAGTGGTTCAGATGAGACCCAGGAGTGACTCCGGGCAAGGCCAGGGATTTGTGGTTCCAACTGGAGAGCAATATCCACAAAGGGAGAAGTTTGGCTCCCTGGGAGCCTGAGACCTTTACTCTGCAAGAGAAAGCTTTCCTACCCCAGAGGGTGGCCTGCCCTTGCCCGGGTCCACATCCTCCCCATGCTGCAGGCCCAGCTGAAGGCCGCTTCCCAGGCAGCCAGAGGTGACCTCTATGCTCTATCCCAGGGTGCCTAGGCATCTAGTACTTTGTAACCTGTATGCAGAGTTTGGGCCTTGGGTTTGAGCTCCGTCTCTAAATTGTGCGTTCCTTGGAGGCACGGTCTTGCCTAGGCATCTAGTACTTTGTAACCTGTATCCAGAGTTTGGGCCTTGGGTTTGAGCTCCGTCTCTAAATTGTGCGTTCCTTGGAGGCACGGTCTATGAGTTATTATTCTGTTATCTACCTTCTGCCCCAACCTTCAGCTGCTGGGGTACAGACCATGTAGGGCTCAAAGGCAACCTCCAGGAATGTTTCTGACCTAAGCAAGCCCCCCAACCTTCATCTGATCACTTTTCCAACCCTTCCTCCCACTAACTATGAACTCTAGTTAATCCTTATTATAGCTGAATGGGATATTCAGTTCTTAAAACAGCAAGGAGAGAACAGTGCTGGAGACTGGGAAAGAAAACTTTGAGTATGGACCCTGACGTGCAGCCCGGGCCCTCCAAAGCCCTCTCGACCCAGGCAGAGAGGGCTGTCAAGAATAGCCCTTCAGCCCACTGCAGCTCGAGAGGGATTCTGACAGAATCAGGGAAATTGAACCGGGTGGAGGAAAGTCTGGCTACTGTGGGTGGCCTGAGGCCTTTACTATGTAGGACAAAGTCGACTCAGGGGGTACCTGTGATGGCCCCGCCTCCTGCAGGGACATGCTCGCTGCCCCTCCGCCATCACAGGGACACCATCCACACTTCCACCCCCCCCATCCAAACTCCCCAGTTTATCAGAAAACATAGCTCTGGATCAGAGTGAGGACCCAGGCCCTGATGCCCTCTTGCCTCATCAGTCACCAGCTGCCCTTGAGTAAGTCCCTTTTCTCTCTGGGCCTCAGTTTCCAACTCTGCACAGGGAAGGAGAGCTAACACTGGAGGTACCTGAGAGCTCTCCTAGCCTGAGGAGTCCTTAAGCAGCACAGGTAAGGGTAAGAGCACAGAGTTGGAACCAGACATACCTGGCTCAGATGTGCCATTTGCTAGCTATGTGACCTTGGGCTGGGCAACTTAACCTCTTTGAATCCGTACTTAATCGTCTGAAAACTGGGGATAACAAACCAGGGTCACTGGGAGGAAAAAAATAGTAATATCTATAGAGCATAGTACGGCGCCTGGCACTTAGATACTCAACACGTATTGGCTAGTGCTATTCTACGTTCTCAGGCAGGGCTCTGCGCTTGAGTGGTTTCCCACCCAGTTGCCTGACACTGCCCACCTAATGTTGAAGGTGGAGCCCAAAAAGGAGGGTCGACGGGACTGGGCAGAAGCAGCGGTGTAGGGGGGGTGTGGTTCTGGCTCATTCCAGTACATGTCCCGCTCCATCTGAGGCAGGTCCCGGTGCATCTCGTCCACAGCCAACAGAGACACCTGGTCACCAGGGACAGAAGTCCAACAGAAAGGGAGAAGTCACTTCCCTCTCTCTGGACTCAGTTTCCTTACCTGTGAAATGGAGAGACTGATACCTACCTGCAGGCTCCAAAGTTGAGGTGAGAATCCTGTGGGTGAATGGTTGGCTACAAGGGGGAGGGGGATGACAATTCACTGTGAAGCCTCCCTCTAGAATTGTGAGGTCCCCCTCCTTGGATCCAGTTTGGGGAGGGTCCATGGTATGCCCTCCCTCCCTCTCCCCTTACCTGCAAGTTTCTGTCAACGATCCAGTTGGTCTCAAAATCATCATCATCCTCTCCAAAGGGGTTGATGAGCTGCTCTGCCACCTTGGGGACAGGTGAGGCTCTGGCAACCTTCAGGTAGAACTCCCTGAAGCTCTGCTTCTACCTTTAAACCTTGGCTCCCGCCATTTTCACACCTCCATGGTGCCCTTCCTGCCTCAGCACCATCTTTAAGGCCACAGTGTAGGGCTCCAGCCACCCACACATGTGGGCCACCACACATGAGCCCCTTCCCTTCTGGACACTGAAGTCCTCTGATCCTCCTGAGCCAATCCCTCCCTGAATACTTACAGCTGTCCCCGAGTGTGTCATTCAGCTGAGTCTCCACCTTTATCTCACCTTATGTATCTTACCTGGAGTTGCATCATTTTATTCATTCATTTACTCATGTCTTCAAACATTTATTTATTCCTTATTTTCTAACATAACAGATATATACTGGGCCTGTGCTGAATTAAAGGCTGGTCCAGGTGGGCAGATTCCTGGATACTAACCTCTAAAAGACCCTACCAAAGCCCCACAGAGGAGATGAGCTATGTTAAGGACCCAGGGGACATCTTGCAAGCCGCTGGGGCACCTTGGAACATTTCTAGCATAAAAGTGGTGTGGTCTGGTTTGATGTGTAGAAACCAAAGATAACTGCGGGGAGGATATAGGGGCAACAGTACTGCGTGTGTGTGTATGTCACATGGACAGGAAGGGAAGAGAGGGAGATCCATACCACCACTCCCAAAAAAATAAAAGAAGAAAGGAAGGGAGGGAGAGTGGGTGGGAAACAGAAGGAAGGAAAGATAAAGAGGTGAGGAACACAGTGTGATTCAGGACTCCTGTTAAGGAGTACCAGATATGGTGGAAGGAATACTCAGATAAGCCACTTGGAGTACGGACAAGCATCCTGAGCAAGGAGAGGCGGATCTGCCTTCTAAAGAGCTGGGGATGCAGGTGGGGTAGGCTCATTAACCTCAAGGCTTTTGTTTTACTAAGCAGAGGGGACACATCTGGGGCCAGAGCTGAATGGACAGGGATGGTGAGAAGTTGCCTCACCGGCAGGGCCTGGCACTGCGACTCTTATTCCATGAATTCTCCTTGTTCTGTACAACATTTGGAGACCATTCTCTTGACAGGGCACCAAATGGTTAGACGGACTGAGCCTTAGGTCTAGGGCCTAAGTTCTGGGCCTTGGGGGAAGCCTTGGAATCAGACCCAGGCCTCAGGCAGGTTCCACCCCCCACCCTTTGAATCTCAGTTTTTTCATATGTAAAAACGTGTGGACAGTGTAGACCAGAGGGTTGTGGTCAGGGCCCAGCACCCTACTTCCCACATTTGAGACCCTCTTTCCCCGGCTGTCCCTCCTCATCTCAGGCCATCTCAGACCCCTCTGGCCATGCCCACAGCTGGCGGGGTCCTGGAGAGGCTCACCTTCAGCCAGCCAACATAGAAGAAGAACTGCAGGAACGTGAAGGCAGGCACAACAAGGTCCAATTCGTGGCCAGGGTAGGCCTTGGCTGGATTCAGAAACTGCCGCCCAATCAGGCAAGCCAGGAAGAAGCTGTACACTGCCACGGTCACCACCTGGGAGGAGAAAGAGGAAGAGGTGGCAGAAAAGGGCTAGGTGGGGACCCTGGGATCAAAGCTGGGAGTCTGAGTCCTTGCCTGGACTTTCACACTCATGGGACTTTGGGTCTCTATTATCTCCTCTTTAAAATGGGGACAATCACACTGCCTCCACTTGGCTAGACCAAACAGAACTTGGGCTATTAGAACTTGGCACTACACAGAACCTTCAAAGCCCAGACCCAACTCGCAGCGTGAGCCTTCCCATCACAGGCAGCTTCCTGGGTCCTCCTAGCCTCAGTTTCCCAAAAGGGCAGCTTCACCAGCCTAGTCCTCACCTGTGTGTACACCAGCGGTATACTGATCCAGTCGTAAGCATACAGGTGTCCACACTGAGTACGCAAGGTATTCATCTCCTGGAGGGTAGGAGGGAAGATGAGGTTCTAACTACTGCCTGCTCTCCCAGGCTCACACCCAGTTGGTCTCCAGGTACCAGGGTCTGGTGCTCATGGTCCAGCCCTGGCTGTGTGGTCATGGGCACCTCACTAAACCTCTCTGGGCCCCAGCCTCCTCTATCAAAAAGGAACCAGGATCTCACAGGCTTAGTTAGAGAGGGGATAGGAGGGGTATTTGGGAAGGGGCCACCTCGGGCTATGGAATCCTGTTGGAAATGATCCTACAACCCCACCGTAGGCTCTAGGATGACCCTCCAGGGCTCAAGCCTTCTCTTTGCAGGAAACCTGGTTTCACCTGGGCCATAACCCCTCCCACTCCGCGGCAGCCCCATCTGTGTAGTGGGCTCACGTTCAGCAGGCTCTGGAGCAGGATAGGGTCCCGGATTCGACCTCCAAGCCAGGCCTTCACTGACAGGTTGGCAAACCACACCCAGGGCACCCAGAACATGTTGTGTGGTAAGCTCAATTTTTCTAACTGCTTGTGTTCTGCGGGGGTCATAAAGCCTGCGGAGTAGAGTGAAGAAGACAGTGGGTAGGAGAACCTGCAGAAGGGTGGCTGGCACCAGGTGGTCAGGCCAGGCCCAGCCCTGCTGAGCCCATAGGGACCTCGGCGTTCCTTTGCCATCCTCTTTCTTTTCAGTAAAATATTATCGAGCGCTCCTATGTGCTGCTCTGGGCTGAGCGCGTGGGAGGGGGTCTGTCTTATCAACCAGGACCTGCTCAGGCAAGGAGGAGAGGGAGACCAGAGACCAAAGTCGCTGACTTCCCAACTGGAAACCGGAGATCAGAAGCGGGCAGGGCAAAGGGAAGTAGATCCGAGCACCTCACCAGTTCCCAAGCCCCCACGCCTTCCCTTACCCGCAAGGATCCTTCAGAGCCCTGCCTCAAACCCCCTATCCTCCGAGGGTAGGTTCCTGTCCTCGCCCCACCTTCAGGCACCTGACTCCGCCCCGCCCAACTGGGCACTCAGGTCTTGGCCCCACCCCCTCCTGGTCCCACCCAATCAATCCTCAAGTCCAGGGCCTCTGGCTCCACCCCCACGTCCCGCCTCCAGCCACTGGCTCCGCCCCCGCCCCGCCCCGCCTACCCGCTCGCACCAGGTGTTGGGCGCTGGGAAAGCGCTTGTAGACCGCGGTGCTGACGCTGCGCAGGATGAGCACGTTGCCCAGGTTGGCGTAGCGGATGAGCGTGCGCCGCAGCAGCCGGCCCTGCTCGTCCTTGCCCTCCACGAAGCCCGACACCAGGCTCATGAGGCGGTCGGGCCACGGCACGTTCTCGTACTGGCTCCACCAGCGGGTCACGACCAGCGTCACGTAGAAGCCTGGGCGGGAGGGGCGCGAGGGGCGAGGGGCGAGGGGCCGGGCTGCGGCCAGAGCCCAGCGCAGGGCGACGCCTCGGTTCCTCCATCTTCATGACGCGAGCGGGCCCAGCCCCAACCCAGGCGCCCGGGAGGCGGAGGCAGAACCTCGCATGGAGCCGCGAGAGCCTCAAAGGTTATTTCTTGGGGAGGGGGCCGATCCCAGAAATCCGCCAGACACCCCCCCCCTCCAGCGCAGGGTCTCCAGGGACTCTGATGTCAGTGCTTCCCCCAGAAAATGAGGTCTTGAGTGCTAACGTCGGGACGTCCTTCCTGATGTCTAACCTCAGTCTTTCTGGCTGGAGTCTGCATAGTTCCCTGAACTACAGAGAGGCACTGACCTTCCTCCCCCCACCCTCCCCATCCCCAGCTCCTCGTGGTCAGCCCACGGCCTGTCCGGCGCCTGGGGCGGCCACGGGGACCCCAGACAGTCAGAAGGGGGAGCTCACCCAGCACGAAGGAGATGGGGATGAGCTGGATGTAGCTGTCGCAGTACAGAGTCAGCTTCTCAAACAATAGCTGCTGCTCCTCCGTGAGGGCCAGCCTGGGGATGGGGGACACTGTGAGGAGAAGGCTGAAGCTGTCCCCAGCTCCGGCCTGGCCCAGGGCCCCAAACCCGGACAGGCTAGACGAGGACCCCTTCTGTAGTTTCCTGTGGGGAGAATCCTCACGCTGACCACTTGATGAGGTGTAGGAAGGAAGGTCCTACCGAAGGGGTCACTTGTAGGCATCACTGACCCTTTTAAAGGAGCTAAGGAACAGTTGTTTAAAAGCAGGTTGAAACAAAGGGTGTTTGATTTTCAAAAATGCACAGTGCAGAGAGATGAACAGGTGGAGCACAGAGGGTTCTTAGGACAGTGAAGCTACTCTGTGACACTACAATGGTGGATACATGTCACTATACTATATCTGTCAAAACCTAAAGAATGTGCAGCACCAAGAGTGCACCCTAACGCAAACTATAGACATTGGGAGCCGATGTGCCAATGCAGGCTCATCTATTGTAATAAATGTACCACTCTGGTGCCAGGTGTTGACAGCGGGGGGCTGTGCGTGTCTAGGGGAAGGGGACATGTGGGGACTCTCTCTACCTCCTCAATTTTGCTGTAAACCTAAAATTGCTCTAAAAAATAAAGTCTAATTAAAAAAAAAAAAAAAACCAAAGACCAATGTGCTTTGTGATTAGTGTTATTATGCACTCAATAACTTCATGTATTTGATATTTTTTAATCCATTGTAGTCATTAATGCTTTTTCAATTTTTTTTTTTTCTATAAAGATGACCGGTGAGGGGATCTTAACCCTTGACTTGGTGTTGTCAGCACCACGCTCAGCCAGTGAGCAAACCGGCCATCCCTATATGGGATCAGAACCTGGGGCCTTGGTGTTATCAGCACCACACTCTCCCAAGTGAGCCACTGGCCGGCCCGATGCTTTTTCAATTTAAAATGCTGTCATATATTCTGTGATTATATCTGTCCTACATTTTATTGTTTGGATAAACATTTTTATTGAAATATATATTTTAAATGTACCCTCTGTGTCTGTGAGCCTGTGTGGGATTCAGTAAAACAGCCTGGCTGAGTGGGACTGGGGCCCCTCCTTGGGTTGGAGGAAAGGGTGTCTGCCACTCTTCCACCCGGGGTTGAGCTGTCTTCCTGGTTCCCAGCCCCAGTCCCCAGGGCCCAGCCAAGAGCTCCGAGTTTACTGGTGCATTGGTCCCCTATTAGCTGGGAGGCCCCACAGGAGCTCCAAGCCCCAGCCACATCCTTCCCAGCTCCCCAGGCCCAGCCCTGCCACCTGCACCTATAAATGAAGCGGATGGTGTAGTAGCAGAGCAGGAAGACGAAGAACTCGCCATAGAGCAACTTGTAGATACTGCCGCGCCAGCACAGCAGCAGGCGGGAGAAGGAGCCTAAGCGGGCATTAGCCACTTGGCTTGTGTAGGTGACAGTCATGGCCAGGCACTGGGCTGCAGCAGATGGCTTGGGTCCTAGTGGACAACCAGAGAGGGAGACTGATGGGGGACCAGTAAGGATCAGAGGCCTTGGTCAGATCCTCTCTGGGACTCGTGTGACCTTAACCAGGACCCTTCCCTGCCTTGGGCTTCAGCTGTCCCCACTGGACATTGGGAAGGGAAGGGGCTAGTCTCCAAGGCCCTCCCAGTTCTGACTGCCTGTGGGAGGTGGGAACACAAGAGAATGAGCCCAAAGGCTGCCCACAGCCTTGGCAGGGAAGACATAGGTCTGAGGACTGGCATGTGCCCTTCATTTTGCATGATGACAAAGGCGGTGACAGTGGTAACATCCACACACTGAGTGCAGGTCCTCCAAGCCAGGCAGTGTTCTGAGCCCATGGTGCTCATTAACTTTCCAAGCTCCCTCTAACCTCCCCAGAGTGAGAAGGAAGTCCAGGACAGAGCCTGGCTGGCGGAGATGTTTTAATGTTTACGGGAGGGTGGCCCCAGGGCCTTTCCACCTGCTGAGCCTCCTGCCTGGGAGATTCTCCTCCTGACATAACTGCCTGGCTCATCCCCACTCCAGATCATCTCCTCAGAAAGGATTAATGTTTACGGGAGGGTGGCCCCAGGGCCTTTCCACCTGCTGAGCCTCCTGCCTGGGGGATTCTCCTCCTGACATAACTGCCTGGCTCATCCCCACTCCAGATCATCTCCTCAGAAAGGATGTCCCCAACCATCCTACCTGAAAATAGTGCCCTACTGCCACTGGCACTCTCTGTCCCCTCACCTTGCTCGATTTTTCTACACAGCACATCTCACTACTTAAAATTTTATTATACAGCATATCTGCTCATTTACTGCCTGTTTTCTCAGAATGAAAGCTCCAACTGTGTTCTCATAGAAGGTGCTCAATAAAAAAATACTGAAGCAATGATCGGCCCCCTCCCCCACTCTTCCCACGTGCTCTGATGCAGCCACACTAGCTGTCTGTCTGTGCCTGGTGCGTTCCAAGCTCAATCCTCCCTCAGGGCCCATGCACAGACGTACAAGTGCCCACACCACTGCATGTGTGCTGCCCATGTGCACCCATCACACACACGCAAACAAGGATAGTCATCTACCCTGAAGCCCCTCAAAGCCCCAGCCCAGTCCACCTGAGGCACCCTCTACTCACAGGTGGGGCTCCGGGCTGGTTGGGTGATCCCACAAAAAGTCTGGCCACTGGACTGGTAGGATTCTCTGGGGCTCTATGGCCAGTGCCCCAGGCCTTACTTAGAGGCTGGTGCTACCCACGCGTGTGCTGAGCAGTCACCTGACTCCCTAAGCCAGGCCTCCACAAAGGAGCCCTTGTCTGGCCCCTCCTGTAATCTGCTCACAAGCAGCAGCCAGTACAGCTGGCCAGGGCCCCTCTAATTCCTTCCTGGGGGGCGTCAGACTGAGACCAAGGCTGGAATTTGGGGCAACCCCCCTTCTACCATGGCCTGAAATTGGGATATTGAGGGATCTGTTACACCCACGTCCTGACCCCCGAGGTCCTGCAGAGAGAGTTGGAGGGGGAGGGGGATCTGGGCCTCATCTGGGCCAGGAGCTGGGGTGCGGTGGGGAGACTATGTCCAGGTCCTGGGTGGCCTCAGCAGCCCTATGGGCTGTAGAAAGAACACTGGGCTACAATCAGGAGTTCTGGTTTATAGTCCCAGCTCTGCCACCTGTGTGTGGTGACCCTGGGTGAGCATCCGCTTCTCTCCGAACCCCAGTGTCCCTGTCTGAAAAGGATGGTGTTGCTTTGGAATTTCATCATCTTGGTAAGAGGGACAGAATTCACTGCACATACTGATGAGGAGCTCTGATTGGCTACTGGTGACATCATAGGTTATTCTGGCCATGATTGGTTGGCAGGACGTGGCCTCAGCTGCTTCACAGCAATGGAAGGAGAAGGGGGCAGGGGTCTGGTATGTGGGGACAAGGGCTGGTGGGGGATGACATAGCAGCCCTGGTGTTTATGCTGCTGGCTCCCAGCCACCTGGTGCAGGATGGGAGTATGTGCCCAGATCCCCAACGGTAGCTGGTCAAAATCTTGGCAGCTGATTCAATAAATTTTAGTAGATCGATCCATACCTGAGGGCTCTCCTAAGACGCTGGAAGTGATGGGCGTCTACCAACACGCTCATCGCTCATCATGTGTTGTGAAGTGAAAAGAACAGAGCTCAGAGTAGCAGTGGTTCTTGGTCTTTAGTGGCTGTAAGAATCGCCTGGAATGTTTATCAAATGTGAAACTTCTCAGGATCCTTCTCCAGAGTCTGATTCTGTGGCCTTGGAAATGTTGCATTTTTATCAAGCACTGCAGGGGATGACGATGCCCAAGTCTCAGAACCATACTTCCAGAAGCCCTCCTTTACTACATGACCCTGAGCCTTAAACTAAATCCCCTCTCCCACTCCCTTCTGCTTCCTCCTCCTCATTCTCTCTCCCTCCCCTCCCCACCCCCTCAAACTTACTCCTTAAGTGAATGCTGAGATTACAGGTGAATTTTATACACACAACTTGGGACTCTATAATTCTCTGCCTGGAAAAAAATAAAACTATTTCATGACCTTGGGTACTTTTCTAATCACGACAAACAATAAAGCTGTTGTTATTACGAGCTAGTGTCTTCAGAGATCAGGGACAGCCTGCAGGAGTATTTGCTGCCTTTGCACTGCCCCATCGCTGTCCTTAACTGAAACAGGCAAAGGAGTGGATTCACTTGTCCCTGTCTCCTCATCAGCGAAATGGGAAAATAATGCCTACTTTGGCAGCCAGGTGAGAATTTTGGATGGGAAACATGTTAGTCAACTCTTTAAACCAGTGGTTCTCAGCCTGGCTGCCCATTAACTTTTCCTGGGGAGCATCTACAACCCACTGATGCCTGAGCTCCACCCCCACAGATTCTGATTCAATTGATCTGGATGGGGCCCAGGCATCGGTATTTTTTCAGGTTCCCCGGGTGATTCTAATGTAGAAACTGGGCTGAGAATCACTACTGTAAGAGATTATTTCCCTACCTTATATCCCCTTGTTCTGCCAATACATACTGACACTCAGGAGAGAGGTTTTGACTTGGCAAATGTTTAATATATTTTTAGTTAAAGTTAAAACATGTGCCTGGCACCATGCCTGGCACAGTGAAGCTCACTCTGTATTAGTTAAAGGAATAAATGAGAACCCTGCCTTTGTGGGGACAGGTTCCTGCCACCCCTGTGGTGGCCACTGGAGGGCAGCCAAGACTAGCTGGCTCTGGCCTGGGAAGCCTTGTCCCCTGGCCAGGGTCAGTGTAGACGGTGGAGCTGGCACTGGAAGTCTCCCTCCTCCCCCTGACCCTGACAGTGCCATAGAGCTGTGAGAGGGAGGTAGGGGACACTGGAACCCTCTTCCCTTTTCCCTGCACCACAGGCTCTTTGGCAAAATCCCAGAAGTCCAACCAGGACCACCTGACAATGATTTCCCAGTCTCCCTTTCCCTCCCAGGTGTCCCAGGATGTCCCCAGAGACATCCAGCTGCTCCTGGCCCCACCTCAGTGCTGAGACTGGTACAAGTCATGGTCTCTCCCACTGGGTCTCAGCCATGAAAATTTCCCCAGCCATCCAGGCACAACTCAAACACACAGTAGAGCTACAACAAGCACTGATTGACTCAAGCCATACCTGGATTGACCCCTGAAAAATGGTGCCCAATCCAGTCAGGGTGGCCCTCTTCTTCTTTCTATTCCACAAAGTAGTTATTCAACAAACCATTTCTGATGCCAGAACAGAGCCTATTCTGATTCCTGCCTCCAAGAATTCATAGTCAAATTAAAACAAGGGAAACATTTAACTAGCTCTAACACAAAATGGCAAGGCTTAAGATCTGTGCCAAGTACACTGAGGTCAGGGAAACTTTTTACAGAAAAGGGAGCATTTGAGTTGGGTCTTGAAGCATGAATAGGAGTTCACTGAGCTGAGATGGATGGGACAGTATTACATGTCAAGTGAACAGACTATGACAAGTCACAGAAGCATCACCAAGGGATGGTTCAGTATGACATTCTATAGAAGTTCTTGGAGGATACTGAATCTAAAGGCTCACCTGGTCTAAGGTCACCTGGCTATACATGACCTGGGACTGGAATCTGGGTCTTGTGGTTTCAGATCCTGTGCCCTTTCCACTCCCCACCATCACCTCTGCAGCGGAGGTCAGTTTCTGAGGGATGGAGTCTTATCTGTTAGGGCAGCGGTCTCTGTTGGGGTTGAAGGGAGGTCCAAGGGATGGGGGTGCATAGAAGAGACTTTGACTACAGCAGAGCCTGTGCTCTTGAGCCCCCCAGCAGAGAGCCATCTCTGAGAGGAGGCAGAGCAGAGCTGGGCAGATGGGTGGAGGAATGCTATGGCCTTCTCCCCTAGGATTGCCATGGCAACAGGAGCATCACAGAGGGCCTGCCACGGTGCCCTTCCAGGCCCTGCCTCAGCTGGGCAGGAAGAAGGGGACCCAGCTTGGCTGGGGACAGTGGGCAGAGGGCCCTGGGGTGGGCCAGCTAGGCCTGGATGCTACCTCCCGCCTCTGTGTAGGGCCCTGCCAGCCCACACCCTTCTCTTGGGCCAATCACGGAACAAACAGGGCAGAAGCCAAGAAAGAAAAGGAGGGGGCTTGGCACAGCTAGACAGAGGAGAGGAGGGATTCTGCCAGTCCAGGACCTGGAAGCAGGACAGACCACAACGCCTCTACCCTGAGGTCAGGCAGCCCTGATCCCTGAAGGGCTGGGAAGACTCAACACTCAAAGAGATGAATGCATAAGATCTGGCTACTGCAGAAAGACAACCGGAACTAGAGGAGGCAGGGAGAGTCTGGGACACACCTGGTCCAGCTTCACCAAGTCCAGTCCTGCCAGTAACAATGGAATAGCATGAAATAGACCAGAGCCGGCCCAACTAGAGACGCAAAGCAAGAGGATTCACCAACACCTTGGGGAGAGTGCTGGGATCCCCAAGCTGCCCTGTCCCCCATGGACTCTGCCCCACTGAGGTCAGCCAGGTGAGGTACTGACCTATCCACACCCCACCCCACCCCACCCACTCAGAACTGCTGCGGCTAATGACAGGGGAGGAGGAGGAAGAGGAACATCATGGGTCAGGAATTGGGCCGGGTGTGGGATGACCTGGATGCCGTCACATATTCACTACCAGTCAGTAGCCTCAGTTTCCTCATCCGTCAAACGGGCATGTGAGTAGTTTGAAATGTCATGAGAGAATGCTAATGGTTCCTCATCCAACTGCTCATTTTGCAGACAAAGAAACTGAGGGGTAGAGAAGGAAAATGACTTGCCTGCAGGCACAAAGAAGTAGAGTCAGAGCTGGGCAGTAAATGCATGTCATCTGCCTCAGTCAGCACCGTGTCCCTCTGCTGCTGCAGGATGTCCCACAGGCAGGCACTAAATGCCCACCCTGCTTAGCACTGCACTGGGCATTGTGTGAGGGAGAGAAGAGAATCAATATAATTTCTCCCACATCTTGAGCACTTACTGGGTGCCAGGTAGTGTAGTAAGTGCTTTTTAGAAATGATGTCATCTAATCAGCAAAAAAAACCCCTGAGGAATAGGAAGGGTCATCTACCTGTTATAGGGGGACAAATGTAGGGGAAGAAGGCCCAGGGCAGGCCAGGTGAGCAGTAGGCCCCGTAGGCGACTGTCTGCTAGGACAACAGGACCACCAAGCAAGCCGCCTTTAGTCCCCTTGTCCTGCCTCAGGTGCAGCTTGGCTGGGATCCCACAGCTCCCACCCTCTCCACTACCAGACTTAGCAAATCAAAATGCAGGAGAGTTAAATATGAATCGCAGATAGACAAGGAATGAATCATTTCTTAGTTTAAATATGACCTACACAGTATAGGCTCCTGAGGAAGCAGGTTCGGAATTAAACAGCCTTTTCTCTGTGGGCCCCTGAGCTTTGGTGAATTGCTTAATCAGTCCACTCCCTCCAGCTGCTGGCTTCTAGAAGCTGGATTCTCAGACTTGCGGCTGGGGCCCAGGTGCTTCAAGCTCGTTGGGAAGCTTGTCAGAAATGCAGAAGCTCAGGCCCCACCTAGACCTACTCAATCAGCATCTGCATTCTAACAGGATCCCCAGGTGATTTTTGTACACATGGAAATTTGAAAGTCTTGCTTTAGACAATGATAAGAGATTTAAGATTATTATTGTTTCCATTTCAAAAGTATTACATGGTTATCATAAACAGTTAGGAAACTACAGAGCAGTAGAAAATGGAAACACCACATGGTATCCTTTTGATGTATTTCCTTGCAGTCTTTTTTTAAATATAAAGGTAAAGTTCATGTACCGAATATTCACCACTCTAACCATTTTGATGTACAATTTCTTCTCATACTCAGCAACACTTGTTATTTTGCATTTATTTGTTTAAATTAAAGCCACCCTAGTGGGAGTGCAGTGGTAGCTCATTGCGGTTCTGATTTGCGTTGCCCAAATGACAAGTGACTTTGAGCATCTTCTCACGTGCCTATTGGCCATTTGTATATCTTCATTGGAGAAATGTCTAGCCATGTCTTTTGCCCATTTTTTGGTTGGATTGCTTAGCTTGTTGAGTTGTTTTTTATATGTTCTAGATACTAGACCCTCAGCAGACAGGATTTACAAATATTTTCTCTCATTCTGTAGGTTGTCTTTTCACTTT